AGCATTCCCAGGCAGGGGTCTGGAGCCAGACCACTCCAGCAGCCACCCCAAGCAGCTTGCCTGCAGTCACCTTGTCTTGCCAGGATGAGGGGCTGCTTGAAGAGCTCATGGCCTCAAGTTGCGGCAAGGGAGATTTAGGTTAGATATTAGGAAAAACTTCTTTACTGAGAGGGTTGTCAGACATTGGAATAGGCTGCCCAGGGAAGTGGCTGAGTCACCATCCCTTGACATATTCAAAAAGTGAGTAGACGGGGTACTCAGAACATGGTTTAGTGGTCATGGATGATGGTTGGACTCGATGACCTTGAAGGTCTTTTCCAACCTAAATGATTCTATGATTCTATGGCCATTTCGTGACAACTGGCGTCACTGCCAGAGACCGTTCCCAGGTATGTTCAATTTACTAGTATAGACAGAGCCTTTAAGACTTTCCCAGGTCAGGGTTGATCACCCGGGTACGCTTGATGGAGCCACACTCAATGCTACTGAGCTGATTCCTTTCTAATCATTCAAGGCATTTAGTATTCATACTTACCATGAACAGAGCCAATGCCTTGCAGGTGTCTATTTTACAGATTATTAGCTGTTTTAAATCTAAATGTAATTACTTATTTTAAATTCTTACCATAAATATCAGACCTCCAGTATTAGAAGTCCTCCACATTAAGAGCCAAGCAAAGGAGTTTGAATCCATATCCAGATAAAAGTCCTCAAACAAGTAACCTGACACTCAAAAATTACACCAGTGAGTCACTCTACTAGCAGTGTGTTCATGCCCAGTGCTGCTGCAAGCATCCCAGGCCCTGGTGAAATCCAAATTTAAAAAAAACCACCACCACCCAGGTTACTGTTCAGCAAAGTGCTTGCAATGTAACTGATTTAACTTCATCCTGTTCTGTGGGAAGGCTGATTTCTTCCAGTATCCTTCATATTTCAAGATTCTCCAAGATAAGTGTTCCACTCCCCCAACCAAGACTGACTGCAAACTCCTCACACGCAGGTTAACTGAGCAGTGCCAAGGCCTGCAAGTCACTTAATACTGTGGCCCTAACTCTTTTGGGCAAATAAACACCCTGAAGGAACCTGTAACTTTCAGGGGGCAGCTGTAGTAATTTTAATAGAGGTAGATTAGAAGATTTCAGAAAAATTAATTCTTGCAGAAAGTACTACTTCCTGCTACTGCCTTGCCTTTCTCTCTCTCCCTGCCAAACAAGCACTTATAATTTCATTTCCAGGGCTGGGAACTCAGGTGCTCAGTTACACAAGTCATGCTGTACAGGCTAGTGATGGCAACTGAAGCATCACCATCCCCGCTGCAGTGTTGTGACCTCTGGACGCCTCTTTCTCTTTTACTTCCTCCTTCAGAGCTGTATAGGAAGAGGGATGAGATGGTAGGTAGTGAAACAACCCAAGCAAGCCAGAAAGACCCTGTTCCTTTGCTCCAAAGCAATGGATGCATGCTTGAGGAAAATCCTCTTCTAGGCAGGACAGCAGGTCAGTACTTAGCAGACCTGAGCAACTGAACCTCCACAGCATATGCATGAATGCCCCTGCATGACATTATTTTAGACCTGGACAGTAGTCAGCAACACCTTAAGGCCAGAGAGGTTCTAAGCCAATATAGAAAATCAATAGCATTTAAAACCAAACCAAAACAAAACCCCACCCAAAACCCCAAACCCACCACCGTGTATACACATAAAAATGTAAGTAAGCTTAGAAGATCAAAGAGTTTGGCTGTATTTGTGCATTATATAGAACTGGAATGTTTTACACACAGCCAGCATTTTTTGCCTTGAGAATAATTAGGAAGGACTCGAGATGCCTAATTGCGCTTCCAAGTCATATCAGGCACTAGCTAAACTGTACTGCAAGCACCAACAAACTTGCATTTCCTGTTCTTAAATGTTTTAACTGCTGAACTATGAGATAGAGATCATAGTAACAGCAGCAGAACAGAACAAAGGGAAGGGAAGTGCAACTGAAACAGAAGCTTAAACCAAAGCAGTAAACTGCATGTTGTTGATGTGCTTTTATTAAGAGGACATGAAAAGAACATTATAAGGGATTCAAAGCATGAGGGTGAGGAGGGAGAGGAGGAAGACAAAACACTTGAAATAAATGTTCCATGGAGAGAACATCTCTAATAATTTATTGACCTTCAGTTTCACATTGTGAAAAAAAAAAAATGCAAGTTTTACAAAACCTTAAGATGTAGTAGCAAACAAAAAGACACAACATAGACAATTTTACTTCTTCACTTGCACAGTTTTCTTTTAGCACATGAACCACATCTTCAATAGCCAGGAAAGGGAAGATTATTCTGCTCTAATCACTCTTATTCAGACAGGTGTCAGACCTAGAGAAAAGGGGCTGCACAATTATACCAGAAGAGGAAGGCTGTCCTTTGTTACATGTTTCTACAGCAACCAGCCTGCAAAATAAGAGGAACCTTCCTGTCTCATGCCAGGGTTTTTGTGTGCACTCCGCTGTGAACTGCATTTGTTTCAAAGTGTGGAGTGTTTTGCAGGACTGGAATGGTCAAGTAGCTAGCCAGGATTCCCACATCAATTCAAAGAGCAATAGCCTAGCGCATTCCCTGCAGAGCCAGAGGCCCACCCTGACTTCAGCTTCCTTCAGCCTACACACAGGAATTAATCGACGACTTGAAAGCAGACCACAACTTTGGAAACAGCTGCAGAAAATTCATCCCACTTTCGGAAGCTGCATGGTGCTACGAAACAGATTTCATAAGCTAAGTAGTTAGATGCACTGCAGCTTCACATCTGGACTCTAATCAGCTTGATGGAGAAAACAGGTCTCAAACCTATATGCCCTTATTCAAACAAGGGAGCCCCTGGGGACCCGGTTCTTCGCTTCCTTGTACCTCGTACAGTCACTAGTGCCTGGGGAGAGGACATGCAAAGCACAGGAAGTCTGATTTTACGGCTCCCTTTACACTCCTGGGAGTGATCCACAAGATGAAAGGCAACAGCAATTCAAGGCTGTCTGCTTCAACAGTGCAACGTGTGCAAGTACAGGTATACAGAAAGGAGACCTACCCTATCTAAGATGTTTTCCTATTGCTTAAAAGCCATCTAAGAGAAAAGAACCAACGCCGGGGGTAGGGAAGGAGGGGTGCTGTGGGTTTAAACATTTTTTTAATCTATCATTTCAAGAAATCAGTTTAACCACAGGAACTGTAACTGCTCACAACTAGCTGGGCCTCACCCTTTAAAAAAATGCTAATGTCTTTGCTAATTAATCAATGTTGTCTCAGTATTCACAGAACTCCAAATACCCTGTTACTGAAATGTAAGGGTCTACTCCAAACAGCAAGTCAAATGTAAGGCAGCACAGAGAAACTTCCAGTGACCAGTGTAAATACTTTCAGATGACAAAGCTTTCACAAATACAGCTACATCACTGTCACAGAGAAAGGCAAGCATCACCAATGTGACTATTTTTGTTTTGCATGCACCTATGCAGCTGTTTACTTACACCGCAGCACACACCAACCATGTTACTGAATGTGCCAGTTAAGTTGGGCTCCAGAAACATTTAGGAAAAAACACAATACTATACACACTTCGTGACAGGATCTGGCAAAGAAAGCACCTGTGAAACATAAGCTTCTGAAATCCAGAAGAAAAAGAGTAGCTTCATCTCTGTCTCAAGACCAGACTGATAAGAAACAAGTTTATTTAAAAATCAAAGTTTGGTTTCTCAGGATTGTATCTGACGCTTCTGAGCAACCAAGTGTTTAAAGACACACCTGGCCAAGGAAAATAAAAGGCAGCAGAGTTTGAGGGCTATTTTTAAGATTAAGAGGTTTAGTTTTCTATCCCCATAAAAATTTTGCTAGAGCACTTGGGTCTTTGACACCTGGCCACTCAGATGATCATCTGAAATCCAGGTGCATGAGGCAATCCAGTCAGTGCAAAATCGCCGCTCTTCTTTTTTCTTTTCTTTTTTTTTTTTCTTTTTTTTCCTTAAGACTTCATCACTAACCTATCTTGAGGTTTTTGTTTTTATTTTTGAATCACCATACTCCACTCATTCAGGTCAATGTGGCTATATTGTAGGTACCCCTCCTCCAACCCAATAAATAAATAAATAACTTTGGACAATGACTTCATCTGGGCTTGGTGTCCGGAAGCTCTTCCACAGTATTTGCGTTGCAATCAGGAAGCTGCACAAAGAAAGAGCTGTGAGAGATTTTGGCTATTTCCAGATTAGAAATTGAAAGGCATGACCAACAAATGAAATGTAGCAAGGACACCATCTACAAGACACACCACATGCAACCTGGGGAGCTGGTGGCCTGAGAAAGTGACCTCCATGGCTTCTTCCTTTAGTACGTGTGTAATTTAAGCTCCTGCTTTATAATCCTTCCATTTCCAACTGGGAAACCACCCCTCCCTTCCACCTCCAACTGTTACCCAACAGTTTTCTTTCTTTGTGCAGCAAAGCAAGTCAGCGATCACAAAATGTGCAAAACATACAACAATTCACACAAGCCCTTGCAACTTGAAGACAATCACAGGCATTGTTTCAGCATGCAAGCACTGAACAATAAATAACTATATCTACAAGTAACATAACAGGAATGGGACAGTTTGAATTACTTATAAATACAGGGAGGAAAGGGAACAAAGAGCATTTGGGGAATGTCATTTTCGTTCCCCACTGTTGCAAAAACATTTCACCACTGGTCTGCTCCTTATCAAGCGGAAGGTCACTCACTGCACATGGGACAATGCAACGCATGATCTAAGAGATGCTGTAGGCACTGCCCACAGACAAGCATGTTCCGGTTAGCAGACTTCAGCAGCAACACTGCTGTATCTTCATTCACAGCGGCATCTCGCTGCTTCAGACCTGGACTGCTTCCCCTGCAGCTGGCGCTGGGACTTCAAACCACCACAAAGAGAGGTGACAACCATTTCAAATTTCACATACAAACAGCAGAGTCCACAGAAATAGAGTGCTGTGTACTGCACAGCTCAGAGAAGTTCTGTCTCTTCTTTTTCTTCTTTGAAGGACTGATTAATATTGGCATTAATCCACAATTACTAGCACAAGGACCAGATCACAGGTTCGTCCATTCATATTTAACCATGTGCTGAAGCACTGAAGACAGTTTTTTCCCTCCCGTTCCTTCATGTCTAGGTTAGATAATTTACAAGGTGCAGATGATTTTCTTCAAATGCAAGAGACACTGAACTATTTTTTCTTCGTTAAAATCTTTCTCCAGATCTGAGGTTCCAATTCTCTTCTCCAAAAAAGGAGTAAACTAAAAGCAGGGGGGAGGGAGGGAAAGAGAGAGAAAAGACTTAAAGGGTTTGTCTAAGACAATATACCACCAGGTTTTTGTTAGATGTCAAAGAAAATCTAAAAGTTAGGCTTAGGATACAATCCAGTTGATGGACTTCCCTGGCCCCCCCCCCCCCCCCCCCCCCCCCCCCCATGTGCCTGTGCAATAGCCAACTACTGATAAATAAACCAGCCAAGAACATAATTATTTAGGGTCAGATTCTGCCTTTATTATTCTATTAGCCTTGCACTGCAAACCACCCTACTGATGCCAGAAAGGCTGTTTAATTTTTTGGCTATAAGTTCAGTCATTTGAAACCTCAATCAAACTGGCCCAATACAGTTCAACGTGATGGGCTCTGCATCCTGCATACTTCAACATTTCTATGTTCCCCCCAAATTTTAAAGGTTTGTACATTTGTTTTAAGCGAACATAATCTTGTGCAACTTCTCTTCCACAAGAGCCCACATGAGCACTTAGTGCAAAGAGTTTTTTCTGTCCCTGGGCCAAAGCAAACCTGGCTGGAGTAAAGCAGAAGGGGAGGTGAAGGTGTCTCACCCCAATGCCTCCATTCACCATGAAGAATTCTGAATTGAATTTATTCACAATATAGAAAGGGACATATAATCCTCCTACTTAAAACATATCTACTATTCATTACAGCAGAAGTCTGCCTCATTTCTTTTCACACAGCAATGCACCATGCATCAATAATTCCATCCTAGAGTCCTTTATAAAAAATTGATTAATTATTCAAGAAGACATTCAGCCTTTGGATGCTGAGATTGTGCTTTGCTTTTTCACTGTGAAGCTGTATTGAAGTGCCAGCTTCCAAACCATCATCAGCTCACAGTCATTTCTGACAGCACTGCTAGAATTTTAGGAGGCAAATCCTACATCATTACAATGCAAAGGAGCTCCAGTGAACTCACAGTTCATCTGAACATACCACATCTCTCAAGCTGTGATGTCTAAGAACAACAGGGAACACTCACAGGAAACACCACAGCCTACATAACAGCCCAGAGCATCAAGCCTCTTTGCAACTGTGGGCTTGAAACACACTATCCTCATTATGCCTAAAAAAAGGTCTCTGCACTTAGTGTTGATTAGTCTTTTCTAGACATTCTTCAGCATAGCATGCTCTTCTTCCCACTGAAACAGACTATCAACACTGATGCCAAAACAATGTTCCCTATCATGGGACGAACTTTAAAAAAAAAAAATTATAAGCAATTCTGAAATGGAGGGGGGGGAATCCCCAACCTACTCAAAAACCCCAAGTTTGAGGAACGAGACAAAGCAGCAGACTGAAGTCTTCCTAAAAGCTGTCAGACTGGGGCCACACAGCACCATGAAAACAGAGGGTAATCAGAAGTAATTTCCGTTTTGTCCCTCCCACCCACTGACAAAGCAGCAGGAGTCAGTAGAAAAAAAAAAAACCCAACAAACTACTTGCTGGATGAGCATACAGCATTGGAGAGAGTTCCGTCTACGGCTGCGTTCAGCCAGTTATCTTGTGTGTTAGTTAAGCTAAAATAATAGCTTTCAATAAGATACTGCAAAACAAAGGAAAGCTTTTTGCACCGTTATATTCTGAGGACTCTTTTTCAAAATAAAACACTCCCCCTCACGTACTGTAAACTTCAGAACAAATAAGTCAGTCTCAGAAGAATAAGTCAGTATTTTTCTTGGCACAGACTTGAGTCCGGGCATTCAATACTGCTGCTTTGATAGCACTGAGAACTGCTGAAAATCAGTAATAATGGAAATTAACTGAAGACGTCAAGACGTTGGTCCCAGCTAGGAAGGAAGCCACTGCGCAGAAGTCTGGGCTTCCATTTGCTGGCTGTTGGGGGTGTGATTACTCCTAGCACCCAGGATCTGGTAAGTCTCAAGGGTTTGCCCTGCTTTCGCAAGAGAAAGTTTGGGAAAAATGAAGCAAGGATAGGAGAGAGGGCAGTGTCTTCAAGACAGCCACCCACCTGGGACAAGAGCAGCTGATAGCACAACACAGCGCAGTTTGACACTAGATTTCCACGTTGACCTGCTGCTTTGCATGGGCCCAACCTTGCATTCTTTACTCAACCAAAGCTCCCAGTCAGCTGAAAGACAGCTACAGGATGAATCCTCAGTGCACCACAGAGAAAGGAATTTCACAACTACCCTACATTTCTAGATATATACTTCTATCTACACTGCTTCAAAGACATTTGGGTTTCGTGTTTACTGCAAGAGTCAGGCAAATGTCTCCAGCTGAAAAAAAAAAAAAAAAAGAAAAAAAAAAGATCTGTCCAAACAGAAGAACCTAGGGAAGTCTTCATACACAAGCTGCTCTTCCCATTTTCTGGAGAACCTCCATCAGTCTGGACTTCTAGGTAACTTAGATGTAAATGCAGAGCTTGTTTAATTACTGCAACTATATTTATTTGCCTTGTTCCTTCTAACCTGCTTGCCTTCATGGTTACACTATACACTGTTCAAATCCAAAAAGAAATTACCACAGGGAATGGATTATTTAGGATTAAGCATGCCACTATATTTGTTTGGTTGGCTGGTGGTAACTTTGATTCTGTACTAAAATCTCAAGGGGGGAGTGGGGGAAAAGAACAACACAAGATTAAGGGGAGTCTGCCAGATTTGTTGCAAAATACACAGATAATAGTTCTGGAAAACGTCAGTGACTTATTTTAAGTGGTGTGACTCTAGAAAAGATAAAAATAAGGAAGAAAAAAATAATAGTTGAAGTAACAGTTAGTAGTTAGCATGAAAAAACAGATTTGAAGAATATTAGCAATATGTTTAGGTACCTAGATTTTTTAGTGGTTTTTTTTCATTAACCTTTTCTCCTCTCCTCCCAAAAATGAGAAATTCACACCAACCAACCAAGCAAGGCCAAATTCAGACTTGCTTGTGAGAAGATACAATGCTGAAGTTGCATCTAGTAAGAGCTTGGCCCATTATATATAATTAAATTGTTTTGGAACAGTGTGTGCTATAGACTGGTAATTATTTCAGCCAGCAATATTAATTATATGTCATCCTGACACTATATCTCCTCCAACATATATGACCATAACTATTTTGAAAAATCTGCATTTTAAAGTATATCAATGGAGCAAATGCAACCTTAGCCCATGCAGGTGCCACAATGCTGTCTAGGGGATGGAAAATTAGGCCTGAAGTGCCTGTGAAACACTTTTCATAAGGCAGCAAGTTTCCCCATAGGCTGTCTGCATGGAGAAGCATGCTGTCTGCCCAGAAATTCAAGTGAATTCACTATCAGGCTTCAGATCAGAATTTACAGTATCTTTTGGGGCACTGTTACTGGATATAGAGAGTGACCTAGCCTCTGTCATCAGGAAAAGGGCACTAAACCATTGTTTAGCATTCATTTAGTATTTAAACGCAGAGCAGGATTCAATTTCCAAAAGATTATCTGCATTTCCCCACAAGTTGAAAATGTTGGTTTTGTTCAGTCCTTTACATCTAAATCATATGGGAAAAGTCCCTGTAAAGAGAAGTGGGTGCAAGATATGCGACAAACTACTTCCAGCATCTGGCTTTGTCACAGACATGGTGCCTGGCTTACAACAACCTGTGAATGTACGTGTCTCAGTTGCTCCAGCTGTAAAACTGCATTGAATATACTCACCCTCCTCACAGCTGCTGCTGAAAAGCTTTGTGAAAAGCATTATTACAGTGGAATTCAAAGGTGTTATTTCTTACCTGATAATTTGTAATTGCAACATACACACAATTATGAGGGGAGGTGCTTCCATGTGCTGACAAAAGCCGTTGGAATTAATGAATAGGGCACAGTTGTTATGCTGTTCCATACATCTAACGTGGGATCGTAGCAGTCCAATGTTTTGCACCTCTGAATGCCAAAGTAGCCTCCAACGACATACAATTTGTTTCCAGATGCCACTGCATGGCAGCTCATTCGCTTAGCTGTCACATCTCCCACCTTAGTCCACTGGTATGCCTCACTGTTGAATTTATAAGCAGAGCACGCAGAGAATTCGGTATCTCCACCCATAATAAAAATCTGGTTACCCAGAACAGCTGCAGCTGTGTAGCGCCAGGGCTGAGGGCAGGTGGCTGGTACTGTCCATCTGTTTTCACACTGATCATAGCACTGAACTTTGGGCAGCTTGTCATGGCTAACACTGGTACCTCCGAAAGCAAACAGCTTAAGCTTTGCGCTTACTACAGCTGCATTGCTTACTCCCTCTCGCAGTGGGGCAACCATGGTCCATTTGTTGGTCACGGGGTCGTATTGTTCTACTTGCTTTAAGGATACTGAAGGGGAAGCTGGAAGGCAACCAGTTGCTGCGGTGTGTCCTCCTACTACATACAAACAGTGCTTAAGCTCAGCAGAACCATGCCCAAACCTAGCCACCAGCATGGGAGCAGCCTTCGACCACTCCTCGTGAAGGGTGTCATACACCCACACGTCTTTGGAGACTCCGTTTTCTGACCCTCGCCCCCCAGTGATATACACTTTGCAGCCTATGGCGCAAGCACTGAACTCTTTCCGTGGACTTGGTATGTCAGCCTTTGGAATGATCTCCTTTGCCTTTTGGTCCACCAGGTACAGCTTGTCACACATAAAGGTTTGGCCACCCAGAAGAAAAAGCGAATGGCCAGTTTTACGGGGTCTTGCACACAAACTAGTGACCACTCCATCATTCTGTAAGATCTTTAACTTGCATCGTATCGATTCTTCTACAATCTCTTTGCTTTTCCTTTGCTTGGTGATAAGTTCTTCCATGGCCACATTCTCCATAAGGTATATGGCTGGCAAAAGGGCCAGTCTCACCATCTGCAATAGCTCAGGCAGGTAACAGTGACGCTTACTCAGGTCATAGCTGACCCAGTTGATAGCTGATTCATACACCAGCCTTTCATCTTCGGTTTCTAACTCTTCACTGGAAAGGAGCTGCACTACCATGTCTTTTGGCAGCTGGAGAAAGTCTTCGCTTTTACTGATACTCTGGAAGTTGCTAAGGCACATCCTCCAAGAGAGTTCATACAGCTTGGTGCACTGGTGAGCATCCGACAGCAGCAGCATCCCAAGACAGTTGGTGGGATGAAGGTTTTTCTCCAGAAATTCTGCACAAGCATCCCGAATGTCCTGAAACTCCAGCATGTCACCAGCCTCCAGCAGTGACTCTGCATTCTCCTCGTTGATGATAACCCTGGAGGAATACGCATAGTCCAGAAGAAGCTCCAAGACCTCTGGGTGAATCGAATTATGAAAGTTGACTTCACTGTCCTGGCTCTCTTTCAATCCTCCACTGAACATTGCTTCAAAATAGCGGCTACAAGCAGCTAGAACGGCTCTGTGGCAGGGGAATGACCTGTTCCCAGCATGCAGAAGTACATCTGTAAAGAGACGTTGCTGACGCAGAAGGTTCAGGTGAGTAAGGACACTATCAGCATAGGATGACTTGTGGAACAAGTATATGTTTATGGAGCCACTACTGGCCCTAGATTTGCGATTTTCATGCATGCTGACTGACATTTTCTTTCACACCTATAAACAAAGAAAAAAATGAATAAGATCAATGAGACAGTTAAATTCATTATTGTTTTTACATATCAAAAAGTGTATCTATTATTCACTATAAAACATGGAAAAAAAGCCTTAATTTATTAGGTGAGTGGACAGCAAATTGCATCTACCTTTGGCATGTGTTGTTTTTTGTTTTTTTTTTTTTGTAAGATGAGTTTCATAAATGACATACTCTAAATTTGTTGCCCAAGAGCAGGTTTGTCTTGGGAAACCTGATCTCCAACTTTCATAGCAATACAGTACGCAAGTAAGTCAGAGGGGAAAGAAAAGGAACCAGGACTGATTTTCTCACCCTTCCCCAACCTAGACCAGCTGATTCATTACATACGTACACATGCACATGCTTGAAACATTCTCCTGTACTGAATCATAGCAGGAAGAGCTACCAGACAGAATACTTAAGGAATGTCAAAAGCTGCACGGGGAACAAAAACCTACTAATCCCATTAGGAAGCTTTCCTTTGGTATAATGATTCCATATGCAACAGCAGAGAATGAAAAAAAGAGAACTTTATAATAAAAGCCTAGCAACGATCATAAATTTAGACTTGCGAAATCATAAAAAAAAATGACGAGTGAATTTTAGAGATTAGATCTTGAACTCTGCTGGCAGCCACCTGTTATAGTGATGCAGCATATACATGGGCAGAGTCAGCAGAAAAATGTGTTTTGATTATCAGCTAAAGTCACCAAGGCATCATCGCCTCTGAAGCTACCTTGAAAGTCAGGTATTCAGAGCACAAGCCATCAGTTCATTTCGAGGTTTGGAAGAGGCATAAAACAAAAGACATATCCTATCCTACCCTACCCTATTCCTAACAAACACAATGCTGTTTGGTCCCTCTTTGGAGGTGAACATTACTGTTACCTGCCATGATATGCAGGTCTATGTATGATTACAGCAGCAAGTTTTCAGATTTAATTAAGAGTCAAGCCAAAACAGTATGGAGTATAGGGAAACAGAGGAATAGTGGCAGCCATAGAAAGCTAATGGCCATAAGCCACAGTGCAAATAATAGGAGACAAAGCATACAGAGCCCAGTGCAAGCTGTGGCTGTGACCACTAGTGTAATAATCTTGCTTCTCTCTCCCCAAAATGCAGAGGAAGCTTGGAGAAAGATGAGAACCAAACTTCCCTAATTACCATGATATTCACATGCCCAGAGTCCCTTTTACTGCACCTTCAAATAAGGAACAGGGCAAAAGCATACCTGGGAAGTGCCCGATGCTCAAAGTCAGAGCATGACCTGGGGCCAGTTGTGGAGGTTTTTAATGTGGATATACTTCCCTCTCTCACAGACTCAAACATTTTCATATTCCTGAGCATGTTTAAGCAGTACAGAACTGTACAACTCTATTCCCACATTTCACGCTTCAAGATGACACAAGACCTTTACAAGCCTCAAAAAAAGCATTTTTTTAACAAATACATGTCTTTTTCTAGATTCATACGACCAGAACCTTCAACAAAATCAAAACCATATACGATTAATTTGGGCAGCGGACTCCATTTCAAAACAAGGGATCTGTGTATAGGGAATATGCAACACCTGCAGATTAACTGCAGCATAGCCAGTACCATTCTCCTTGCTAGCTGTGCTAACGTACAGAATAATTGATTTGTCACATCCAGCAGCAAGTTTGTGATACACCTTTCCCTTCAGTCACAGCAAAAAAGCCCCTCAAACCAACATCAATTAAGGAACAAAGAGACACCTTACTGTAGAACTACCGTAGCCCATTTCCTTTAATCTGAAACATGACTTCATGATGAAACTTAACCAGGATTGAAAAGAACAAGCAACACGGCTCAATATACAGTGCTTAATTCAAAATCCTCCAAAACAGAGAGGAATCCTTACTCTACCCTGCAGAAGTTTGGAAAGGTATTTTACTAATGCTCCCTAGACCAACCTATTAAATGTACTAACACTAAGCACAGAACAACTTAAGGAGGCTGGTAGTCTTCACAACACAAATCCTTTTACAAGGAAAATTAAGTTACCTTTAATGCAATTGTATGGTCTGGCAAAAAAAGACTCAGATGGCATTCAAGGATCCTGAGCACTAATCTCAGACTAAAATTACCCACTTAATCTATAGCCAAAAGGATTATACTGACCATATACAGGTTGAAACCTGCTGGAACTGAAGGATTACAGAAAGGGTCATGGCTTGAAATACTAGCACACAAACAGTTGGGAGACACAGATGGGAAGACGAACCCTTTACTGGCGAAGCACCCCCTGCAATTTTTTCAAACTTTTGCAAGCACTTTACCATTTTAAATGCTATTATGATGCAGTGCAAAGCATTCGCTGGATCTCTACAGACTGGTTTCCTCACCACGGAGCAGGACAGGAGCTAAACACCCACTAATCAGAGACAATAGGGTCACCAGGATCTGAAGATACTCATTGCCCCCCTGCTCTCCATCCCAATTAAGTGAATGTGTAGACATCACAGCCTAGGCATGTCAGGATCTCTATGGAAACACAGCTCCCCTCCTTTCCCCCCACATATTGGGGTAATTCAGAGTATACTGAAAACTTTCTTTTATCATGCACACAGGGTTCAGAAACAGGGCAGGTAAAGTTCATGTCAGACGCTGCGAATGCGGGCGTTCAGATCTTTCAGCAGGCTCTGTACTCTAGTGAGCACCACTTGCTCAGCATCATTCAGAATGAGCCCATAACCACAACAAAATACAGGCAAACATAAAACACCCACCCTGCAGTTATGCATACGTTGGAGGCTAGTGAGCTACAGACCATATGCAGAAGAACAGATCACTGCGCGTTACCCAAGCCCACCCACAGCCATAGTAACGAACACCACTGTAAAAAAAAAAAAAGGAAGGTAAGATCCACTCTCAAACAGCTACTGAATAAGGCACTCAGTGTTTCACCCCACCAAAATAGAAGATTTGGTCTTTCAGTGAGCAATCCCATTTCTCATGAAGCACTTGCAGATTTCACGTACGCTGGTCTTTAACTGTTCCAGTAACATTGCCTTTATCATCACAATGTCATCTATTGACAAGAATTCAAAATATGCCAATTCACATTTAAGATAAGCTAACATATTTCCCGAAACAGAACAAAGATACATATCTATCCACATCTTTTTCCTCCACTGTGGTTGCTGAGATGAGTTCACACATCGACTAGTCGAACAAACACCCTTAACAAGTAATTATCATAATTTACTAACAGGCTCTGTTTCTGTAAACATGTCCTTTTGCAGTGTCTGACAATTAGCTCAGTCCAGAATTTTACAAGAATATTCAAATGTATAAATGACATCTCCGATTTCTCTATTTGGTGTTGGAAATTATGCAAGCCTCAAATACTTTGGCAGAAGTAATTTACAGTCAGTGAGCAAATGTTCATCTTGAGTAGTATGAGTCAACTCCCTTCAGGCGTTTTTTTCCTTAGAAATAATAATATTTGTATGTAAAAGACAAGAAGTGGTCAGTAAATTACAGATATAGATTTTATCTAGGAACAGAGGTTGAACCAAGACTTTGATTTATAATTACACTTCAACAGGCTACTTGTCGCAGCAGCCCAGTAGTAAACACTGCTTTAAGACTAAACAACAGACTCCCTGCCCTACTTCTTAACAGCTCTGCAGCATGCAGGTCTCAGCCTAAATCAAATGAAAAATTAAGTATTTTCAAATTACTGACACATCCCTGATGTAGGCTCATTTTAATACAACTCTAATTACATGGTGGTAGTTGCGTTTTTGTTTAGCATCACTGAAACAGCTGAAGGAGAGGAAATCTGCTAAACATCCTGTAGAATTCAACTAACACGGCTTTCAGCGGCTAAATCTGCAGCGATACTAGCAGTTTTGCAGAGCCAAACCCTGACCCTACCCGAAGTCCTCCAGCACAAACTCGGTGGCTTCCTAGGACCTGCAGCGAGATGGAAAGCAGAACACGCTGCTCCTGCTAGGAATGCACTACTGCTCACCACACGCAGACAAAGAAACCCAACTCTAAATCCCCCCCCTTCACTCCATCACAACGCCTAAACAACTCCGCCTCTGAAAAGAAACGTGCCGGGTTTCTTCCCAACCCGACGAAGAAACAGCCCGAGAAGTTAAAATGCATTCGGTTTCCTCTACAGGGCAATAACCACGTGTGAAAGTTTCCGTAGCAGCGCAGGGAGGGCAGCGCCGCAGCCAGCTCCGGGAGCAGCGAGGCGCTCGCCCCTTCCCCTGCCCTGCCCCTCGCCCGCCGAGGGATGCTCCGGACCTCCAGGGGCCCCGAGGAGGGCTGAAGCCCACCGGGGAGGCTAGCAGCCTTCCTAACAGGAGCCGGCGCCTTCCGAGCACAGCCGCACGCGAGAGGCGAGAGCGACGGCGGATGCCTACCCACCGGCCGCCCGGTGCCCCGCTGCCGGCAGAAGGGGCGATGCTCCCCGGCGCTGCGGGCAGAGCGGAGGAGGGCCAGGCTCCGGCCGTGCCGGGGACCCGCAGGGCGGCCCGGCTCCAGCCGGAACGGAGGCGCGGC